TGGCCGCCGCGCAGCTGGACCACGACGAGGCGCAGGAGCGGCTGATCGCGCCGCTCGACGGCGAGGACGAGGGCTGGGTGGACACGCACCACTTCAGCACGGCCGCTGCGGGCGAGGAGCGCGCCGCGCGCAGCATGGAGGCCCCAGCGCGCCGCCGCCGCCCGCGCCCGCCGCTGACGACGACGACGACGGCGAGGACTGGCGAGCCGGGCGACATGGAGGAGTTCGAGGAGAGCGCGCTGGATGACGCGGTGGGTGGGCGCGGTCGGACGCTGCTCGGTGCCGTTAGGGCCGGCGTCGGACAGCGGTCCGCTGCACAAGCGATGACGTTAAGTCAGGTGTGAGCTTCGGTAGTGCAGGGAACGCGCTGATAAAGGTTCGCGTTCTAATGGTATTCGTGTTTTTCGCCATGTGCTCGCGATGATGTAAATGCCCCGCTTATGTCATTTTGATCCAGGGTGCATGGACGCCAACCACTAGGAAGGTTATCTACTTCGCTTCTTGATGTCGGCTACGCAAGCCGGCATAGGACCACGCGCTTCGCCAGTTATCCGTGGAACGGGACGATGTTTGAAAATAATGATACGAATTTGTTCATTGCCGTGGAAACAACTTCCAGCTGGGGTGATGCGTGTGAGTCGTTATGAGGACGGGTAGACGCCAGCAAAGTGCGCCTACAAGTCGTGTCTGGTGTGGCTTGTGCCCGTCCCTCGCCATCGGCGGGTGTGACGCTGGCGCTCTCCGGCCTGTGCGGGCAGGATGACGCCGTGGTGCGGACGGTGCCGGTCACCAGCCGGGCGGCCGCCGGCGCCGCCTGCGCCGCCGCCGACGACGCCGACATTGTGCGGACGCGCACGTATCACCTGAACATCACCTATGACAGATACTACCGCACGCCGCGTCTCTGGCTGCAGGGGTTCGACGAGGTCGGTGGGCGAGACGTCGGGCAGCGCCAGCGCTGCGTGGCGCCGGTGGATCAGTCACGTGGCGAGAGCTTATCGGCCGAGGCTGTGTTCGCCCCGCTGGAAGCAGCCACCACTTTGTGCCGCAGGGAGCAGCCAGTGATTTGTGCCGGAGAAAGCAGCCGATAATGTGTGCGCTAATCACGATGCGTTCGAGATTACCGTCATTTAGCGTCGCTGTCCGTCACGGGGAATGCCGGGAAATGCGAAATACTGGGAGTCAGGCTCAAACCTGCCGCTTGCCGCCTGCGGCAGAATTGGATGCTCTAGTGGCGGCTGCTTTCCACGCGGTTCAAGACCGACGTGGAGAGCAGCTGGTGTACTGTTGACGTGAAGGTTTCCAATATGTTGCTGTCGCGCCAGACGCTGAGAGCTGGATTTCTGGCGTCTTCTGTATTTCAAAATAGACAAATCATTCATCCAGCCAATTAATCAAATCAATTAAATCAATAATCAATGTCATGCTATCGGTATTATGCCGGTAGTGTCCTATCTGCAGATTTGCCGTGTGCTGCTCGGTCGCTGTCGCGCTGCTCCGGCGCTGTTGTGCTGTCATGTAGACGTCAGCCCTGCTCCGTCGGCGCCGGCGCTGGGGCTGAGCCGCCGCCTCCGCAACTAACGCGCGCTCCACCCGTGGCAGAAACCGCCAGCCGCTGACGGCCGAGCAGATGTACGAGGACTTCAGCCAGGACCACGCGCACAAGACCATCACCTATGGAGGCGCACCCGCACCTGGTGGGGCCGCCGCAGGCATCCATCCACCCGTGCAAGTGAGCGGCGCCCGCCCACGTCCCGTGCTGAAGTCGCTAGGCCGCTGCCGTGATGTGGGGGGCCCCGATTTAAAGTCGGTTCGTCTGATAGAATGTCGGTCGGGCAGGCGTGTTGTGAGGATAGAGCACAAGCAGGGCATCAGTCTGTCAGAAAATGAAGTGGTGGTGGTTTGCCAACAGGCATCGAAAATGCCTAGGTAAATATTTAAAGAAGCATTGAAGGGCACGATGTTGTATGTGAGTGTTGTAACGCTCACGGTTTGTCGGGCTCATGCCATTTTCAGGTGGTTGTGGACGTGAAGGTAGCTGATCGCCACATGAACTCGGGATCATCTTGAAACAACACAGATTGACATGGGCCAACATTCACCGCAATTCATGTGAAGATATAGGAAGCCTTTTGAGCACAAAGTATCCCCCGTCATTGTTTGCTGTTTGCTCAGTTACGGTGTTTGTAGGATTGTTGCATAATCTTGCGCGTATCGCTCGTTTGAATTAGTATTGTGCTTGCTTGCATGCATGTATTGGTACGGCATACCCGTGGGCCGCGTAATCCCTCGGCAATCTGACCGTTTCGGACTGCCAGATGTGGGTGATACCATTCCCGTCGGCAGGCACGCCGACACCATGAAGAGGCTCGTGGAGACGGCTGAGGAGGGCGGCCGCCAGATCTCCGTCCAGAAGTATCTCATCGTCTTCCTCAAGTTCATGCAAGCCATCATTCCGACCATTGAGTACGACTTCACGCAGAACATCCAGTTGTGAGGCGCGAACGCTGCGGTGGCGCGCGCGGCGTGGTCGGACCTCAGGGGTCTTCGGGGGACGCTGACGGACGGGCGGCGCCGGCGCCGCTGACTGGACCCCCAAGGCCGCGAGGTGGCGCTGGCAGACCGTGGAGGCGGCAGCGCAGCGATGCGGGGCGGACGCGGAAAGCGTTGGAGGGTGCGGAGACCTCGGCCCCCGGGAACGGACTGGCGGAGACGGTCGGCGGGCTGCTCCCTGTGCTCGCGCGTCGCTGGCTGGGTGCGGCCGGGCTCGTGAGCGCCGGCGGCCACCAAGCCCCGCCCGACGTCTGGGGAACGCGTCGCTGCCGTCATAATGCACGGCCACAATGGATGCTGCCGACAGATGCCTCCAGGTTTGCAGTGTCAACGGTATGCAAGTGTTGCTCGTTGTGGTTCTTCCCGCCGATGTTTGGGCCAGCTGCTGTTGTGCTAAGCTTGGATGACAGCACATTTCAGTTACGTGTGGGGGTTTATGAGACCTCGGCCGCACTGGTGTCATGGGGTGTCGGAGCGTGTCTGAAGGTGGCCCGGCGCCCAGCCGTGTCCTCTCTGCCGTCCGTTGCGGCCTGCTTTACCGCTACGCCAGGGGAGCCTGCGACCGGGTGCTTCACGCCGCTGGGGGAGGGGAGGGAGCGGGCGGCGACCGCCATTCGATTGCGAGGCCCGGTGGGTGGGTCTGTGCTCTGGAGGCCCTCTGACGCCCACTGGTTCTCCATAACGTGGTATCGTGGCTTCCGGCGATTCAGCCCGCTCTGGCCCTGCCCGGCTGAGCCGGCGCGCTGCTGGGCCGCGCCGCTCTGCCTGCTCCGACTGTGATGATTCAGAGCGACAAGATCTGCGACCGAAATACAGCTTGCATGATTTTGTCCGGATCGTTGTGTGTGTGTCTGTGTGTCGGGCGGTGGTGCCTGACCATGGCGGGGCCTCCCAGCTGTTTCAAGGCGCGCTTTTACAAGGTTCCATCATAGTCAGGATTTTCACGGATTATAATCGCGGCAATCACAGGGTTATGTTAACTCAAATGCCAACCGATAAAAGGAGTGCTTTTACTCGCGGCTGGTAGTTAAGCCTGTTCCAAATTGGTTTCTGTCAACCTCTGGTGTGCGTGCCTGAAACTGGCAACACGGGCATAAGCTGACAAAAACTCTGAATATCATGATCCCCTTCAAAATTGCAGGCATTTCATTAAACTGGGATCTCAATACCTTCAGTTCAGTGGGTGTAATAACGTGCCACTCTGTTTTCTGAGCAGGAATTTGTCCTTAAGATGTTGGAGAATCGCTAAAGATAAGTATTTCACCACCCTGTTTAAAAACGACATATTCGGAGTTGCGTCTGACGTAGCATAAGGGTTAGCATCGGACCCTACATACCCGCACCCACGCACGCACGCACGCGCGCGCGCATGCACAAAACAGGCAGAAAAACATCAGTGGTATATGCTTTATTGTCACGTATTGCGATTACATGATTGTGCTAGAGACACGCCACCTTCCCTGGTGCGGGCACCCATTCAGCGACAGTGTCAGCTGGACGCCGCCTCTCACATCCCACCATACAGCTGCGGCCGGCGCCGACTTGGTGGCGCCCACCTCCCCGACAGGTGGCGCGCCCTACCAAACGCCCTGGCGCCCGTCTGCCACGGCCGGCAGCTGACACAGATTGCATCGCTCTCGGCTCAGAGGTTGCGGTGCTAATGCTGTACCTGTTTGAATGTAGTGCTGCGGCTTGGGCGATGCCCACGCCGGGGTAGACTTTCTTTCTGAAAGCTTGAGAGACGAAGCGCAGTGTTCGCAAGAAGGCAACATGGGTATTGATTTAATATAGTGCGGCGCAGCTTTCATTTCCAGAACTGGGTACGCTTGCCAGCGACGAAGATACGATAAGCCGCCGCCCAGCTCGTCAACTGCACTCAGTATAAGCAGGTGACTACCACTGGTGCGCACCGGTGCGGCCGACGGCAAAGAGCCAGTCGCCGCCGGTGAGCCTATTCCTGTGTCATCAGTGAAAAATGTTCGCTGTCCGACACCCACACGCTAGTTACGAACAGGCATTCCGCTCACGCGGGCACTCACCACGGATCATCACGCTCCGAAGGCACCAGTTTATAAAAATAAGGACCACGAGGGCGCGTTGCTGATAAGACGCGAGTGAAGGCACCCTAAACTGTGGTCAAGCGAGGTCTGGCGCAGTGCTGACGGACACGACCTGATGCTCGCTCCCTACCGCGTTTGTGGATTATGAGGCACGAGTGTGTGCATATCAGTCAGGCACTGCACACAGCTACGACACTGCACCATGTGACAATCTCGCACATAGCAGTGTTCGCGTTATCCGACGATGCATCGGACTGCAAATGTCATATCAGAGTCGAAGACGGCCATTCCACGACACAAAACGCTCAGTAAACTGTCACACTGCCACACTCGCCACACTGCCACTGCCACACTCGCAAGACCGGCGCACCACGAGGACCAGCCTGCCTACGCGAGCTCCTCGCGCGTCCAGCTGACCTGGGTCGCGTCATCCAGTCGAGGCGCAGCGCTGAACCGAGCCACCTCCACGACGCACGCCTGGCTGAGCGGCAGGAGAGGCAGCCGGAGGCGCGGGCCTGGGCCGAGCCGCTCTACGTCGGACGCCTGACGACGCGGCGAGAGGGACAGCCGGGGGGCGCGGGCCTGGTTAAGTGTAACACCGATCGCTCCTTGCGCGGTGCCGCGGCGCCGCCTGCTCGCGGTCTGGGCCGCCCGCGCCCTCTGCTGGGACCAGCGGAGCCGGCGCCGGCCTTCGCCTCCCCGCGTGGCCTCAGCGCCGTCTGCTCCGGCACATCGAGCCGCGCTAGACGGGCACCAGCTCCGCGTGCTCCGCCTGCGTCCGGCCGAGCCTCGGTCTTCGGCCTGCTCTGCCCTGTAGGCGCGTCCGACGCGGGCCGCACGGACTGGTGTACGCCAGGGCACCCCATCACCAGCCCGGCGGCCATCAGTAGCACGCCGGACAGGTAGAAGCTGTAGGTCGTACACCAACATGTAGTCGAACAGCATTCCTGTGACAGAAACCGGCCGGGCTTCTGTCAGAGGGCGCGCGGCGCCAGCAGATATCCTACACATGCCCCTGAGTTTCGAGAGCACGACAGGGGCGAGGGTGGAAGCACTTGTCAGAACCAAAGGCCGTGCTGCACTATGTGGGGTACCACATGGAAGTAGTGAAGGCTGGTGCCTAAGTCGTGCAGAAGTTGAAGGGGCGATGTGTGTAACGTACGTGCGGCTTTTAGAAGAAACTTGTGCGATCAGTGGGATTCGTGCTTTAATAACCCCACACCTGATACCCACGGGCTGCAAAACCTACGAAGTTGGTGAAAGTTGCGCAAAAATCTATACATATCAAGAAAAGACGAAGAAATCATAGTCCGTTCTAATTCCAGGTTTTGACATTACTCTTCAGCAGCATACGTGGAAGCAGCCGTCGCTCCAGCCTGGAGGTTGGAGCAGTTGCACCCAATACGGCGATACAATGGTCGACCACCCACCGGCAACGGGTCCTCCTAGCATAGAGCCGGCGCCTTCGAACAGCAGGAGAAAGCCGTAGCCAATGCCGAGGCGCTGGTCACCCACTAGTCGGATGATGATGTCAGGAAGGAGGGCACCCAGACATGAGCTGCAGAAGCCGAACACGCTGGCACACCACGCAGAGCGCTGCCGAACACAGAACACAACGGTCAGGGGACAGGTCCAAAATGCAGCAGAACACAGAACTCAGCAGTCGGGGGATGGCGGTGCCGCCGCCGCCGCCGAACATAAGCACAGACGTCAGGAGAAAGACCGATCACGCTCCCGAGCATAGATCACAACACAACAGCTTTGTTCCGTTTTGCAGAGAACACGCACAAACTTGTGAGGGCACGATTGACACGCTGCCGAAACACTGGGTAAACTGGTCAGGAGACGGCAACGACAACCCCTCCGAACGCATTTATCAAAAAGTTATAAGACAAGAGCTAAAATTATGCGTCACAACGAGCACAGTGATCAGAGACTTAGAACTGATCGCACTGCCAAATACAAAACGCGGCGGTCGGGAGTGGGGTAGTTCGTGGCATGCGTCGGGGTGGGAGAGAATCCGTCGAAGAACGCAAAGCCTTTTTGCTGCTTCAGTGCTGTTAGCGCCTTTTTGGTAGTGGTCAGAGCAGACGGCTAAGTACCAAACGCAGAGGTCAGCAACGAACATAGTACGATACAACAAAGGAAAATGGAGAATTCCCCTTTCGCTAATCATAAGACAATGATAGCCCTATTCTTATTATGTGCCCATATCATGCGGCAGCCAGGGACTTACCAGAAGCCCGCTCGGCTACCTAATTGCGCTTAAATTAAGATTGCGTGTAGAATACTAAGGCCTCTCACGATGTTTTTTTCAAGAGTGACCATCCGGTATCTCCGGCAGCCCTTCCAAATATCGCATGACCAGGGCCGATCGGAATGAGGGCTCACCGATGACGCTGTTGGAGGCGGGCATGAGCAGGGTAGCGATGCCGGACCCCACGCTGGACACCATGTAGACGAGAATGGTGGTCATGCGTGGGAAATGACAGACCACGCCGTGCAGGACCCGGCCCACCTGTCGGCCGGTAACAGCTGTCAGCCCAGAGGCCGCGACCAGTGCACATCCGAGCTAGCACCCAGAGCGCCGCGCTCTGCGCGCACTGTCGAGCGAGCAGGCCGGCAGGCTGAAGCTCTGCGGTCACTTTCAGGCGAACAGGCCGGCAGGCTGAAGCTCTGCGGTCACTGTCCGGCGAACAGGACGGCAGGCTGAAGCTCTGCGGTCACTGTCCGGCGAACAAGGACGACAGGCTGAAGCTTTGCGGTCACTGCCGGGCGAACAGGTCGGCAAAATGAAGCACACACTGCTGTTGATGCCTTGCATTAGGGTTTGCCTTGTGCGTGTGAGGCTGAGCTTACATTTGAACAATACTGCGTGTGTGTGTGTGTGTGTGTGTGTGTGTGTGTGTGTGTGTGTGTGTGTGTGTGTGTGTGTGTGTGTGTGTGTGTGTGTGCCCTTTTGTTAGCATATTTCCTATGGCATCCTCTGCCCCTCGCGATACAATTGGAGGCGATTCCTACTCGGAATGGCAACCTAGGACGCTGCCTGGAAGGCAGCCAGCCAGCAACGGGTCAGCAGGTTTACATGGCGTTTGCGCACGTAGACTGGGGCAGAAAAGCAGCTCAGGGTCCTTTAGAGCGGACATGTCAAAAGTGCAAAGAGAATATCGATAAAAAATCATTTAGGGGAAAAGCGCCTGCGCGGAAGAAAAACAAGTGGTCCTTTAAGACTGGCATCTCATGTTTCAAAGTGCCACGACAATGTTCAAAACAAGTCCGTTAAGGGGCGAGGCGTCCAGGTGGAAGGGCAGCACATGGCCCTTGGTCATAACATCTCACGTTAAAAGCGCGAAGAGACTGTTCAAAACAAAGCCTTTAAGGGGGCAAGGCGTCTGGGTGGAAGGGCAGCACATGGCCCTTTGTCATAACACCTCACGCTAAAAGCGCGAAGAGATTGTTCAAACGAGATCATATGCAGCGGGAATCCCCGGGAAAGCCAACTGGCGGAGCATCAAAGCAGACCAGCATCCAACGCAGCGTACGCTCCCACGCTGTGAAACGTAAAAGTCCGTCAGAGGACGGCCAAGAGGGGCTGAGGAGACCACAGAAGCAGCCCTACCAGACCCGCAGGTGATCTCGGAGTCTGAGCCCGAACCAATCAGAGCGGAGTGAGACCGCCATGGGCAGAAATTTCGGCTAGACCTCGTCCGGTGCAGGTCCATCACCACGCGCCCTCCGAGGGCTTGTGTCCATCCAGAACCCAAGAAATGGCGCGTGCAAGTCGAAACTGGAAGTGCGAAGTGGAAGTGGGAACAAAGGAACGCGTGGCCGGAACCTGCGAAGAGGGGCCTAGGGAACAAAACCAGGGAAGCGTCACATTAGGGGGGGGGGGGGGGGCACCCCCACTCGGGCTCTCTCAGCAGACGGAGGCCCGACCAGCATTTTGCAATCGACAACAGTAGCCACCAACATGTGAGTAGAGGATCCGGGGACGAAAGCTGAAGGATGCAGTCCGCTCCCTAACGTCTGCCCTCCCCAGCCATGTCTCTCTCGTTGGACCGGCGAGAGGGGAACGTAGCCGGCTAAGCATCCAGCCAGGGCCTAGCATACATGCGATGTGAGTTAGCGTCGTGTGCGTTGATGCTTCAATTTGGGCTCGATTATGATGCCTTAGGCGCTAGACCAGGTCGTAATTTTAAGGGAGAAAGCAAGGAAAGCAAAGTGAACAATGAGCGCGATGGAAGCAAGCACAAATCAAGTAATTTATTCAACCCTGATAATGCACATCAGTTAATTACGCAGCCTTCACGAGTCCACGTAGAAAAAGGGTAAGAAATTATGGACTTCGCGCTGTGTAATGTACTACTTAATTTCCGATGTGCACGACTCGTGACGCAACGTTGAAAAAACGTACATTGTTATGCATACTTTGCCACGGATCAGCTAATTTAAAAATCATACCATGTGGACGCAGACCGAGCATAAAATAGCTCTTCAAAAGCTGCCTCAATGGCATACGGCATCAGTCTGCATCTGATAGGATTACAAGATATGTCAATATTCACGGGTAATTAGCAAATCATCAGATATTCAACAGTGAGTGGTGATGGACTCCGACAGGAAAAAAACAATATATTTTATTCACAAGTTTAGAATGTGTCACAAACTAAGGCACCGCGATTTCCTTGAGTGAGTGTCTTGAACGGATAACTGTTTTAAGTTTGGCCTTTCTTTGAGACATGCTAATCATTTCCATTCTGAACCTGACAACAGCATTCCTACCTAGGCAAAACCTAATATATTTTCAAATGTGAGATAACCGCAGGACAAGGTGTGAGTAATGTTTAAGTGGCCAAAACTGCTCCGTCAACGACCTGCTATAAAAAGAGATCAAAAGTGGACTTCACCCTTTATCTAACCATAGAATCAGAACACCTACGGTCTCTGTGGCTGTGTGTGGTTTTTAGAAAAAAAATGCAAAATTGCACATGGTGTTGCATTCATTCCCTCGCAACGTTATAAACACTTGAAGCTATCTTACACCCTGTGAGACTTTGACACACACTACACCTTGTGACAAACACTTACAGCTGTGTTACACCATCTGGAAGTCATCATCCTGTGTCGATTCCCCAGTACACCTCCACTTGCATGGCTCCAGCCACGCTGTGCCCTAGGACTAACCAACTTCAATATGCACGGCCCGGGATCTGGCAACGGCTGGGGCTGTGGCCGTACATATACTAAATGTGGTGGCAAATCAGGACCACACACAGCCATGCTGAGTCTGCCGGGGCAAAAGGCCGCCGGCAGATGTACACCTGGCTACCCACTGTTGAGCGCCATTCTCCCGATCCCTCCATGGATAAAACCTGATATGATGTGCCGCTACCGATGACTTCTTGGCAGACATCTGTAAGTGGGCTAGCTTTGGCATGCCCCGCGGGGACTCACCAGGTTGGAGACGCCGACGATGGAGAAGATCAGGCCCGAGTTGGTCCTACGCTGAAGAGACCTGACGAGACTGGCCAGCGCACCGAGATGGACGTACACGATCACCAAGCCAAAGCAGTAGAGGAAGTTGTTGGAGCACAAACGTCAAGAATGGAACTGACTTCATGATTCCCAGGTTCTCCTTTAGCTCGATGAGGTAACCCTCTGGAACATTGTACCGAGTCTGTTACGCTGGAATTGAAAACAGCGAATAAAAACCCAACATTGATAAGTGGCTCCCACACATCAAGAAAGCCAGCGCCACGGTTTTAGAGACCGCGTTTACATAGCACATACGAAATACTGCCAGATGGGCATGAAACTTTGCTAAGGTAACCAGACGTGTTGCCCGGCGTTAGCTTGCCTTGAGTGGGACGATGTGTTTCTGGACCGCATAGTTTTCAGTAACACATCGTCGCGCACTTTGAAAGCACCCTTGCCGTTTCCCGATACTTTGATAAGCAACACCTTTTTAACAACAGCTTTCCCACCAATGGCACCATCAATCGGATACACTGACAGTAGCTGCCACAGGCGCCCGCCCCGCCCTGCGCGAGGTCTGTAAGGTTTACAGTTCGAAAATAACGCGCATGCGTGCTCCCCCGCCTTTTGCGTCCGAGGCAACCAATCAACCTTTATTTGACAGTATCACTAAATCTGCCGACCCAATCCGCGTTGAGCAAAGCCAATTTCAACACAGCTCGATGCGTTTCGAGCTTCGTCTCACGTATTTCGTGGTTTGGCTGCCATGCATTGCCGTATGTGAAGGGAGATATCATTAACGTAAGTAACGACATTGATAGTCGATGATTACTAGTTCCATAGTAACAGCGTTGCGATTGCCAATCACGAATAACACAGCACCAGCGTACCATCTTTACGCACCAAAGATACCGTGAGAACAGTGCAGAAAAGGTTGCCACTGTGCTTTGGCTATACATACACGAACAAGACAAAGAGAGTGTCCCCATTGTGTGGGGTTTCGAACTGAAGAAACCATCTTGAGATCATTCGATATAGCGTACAGCCCTGCCCTTTTCAACCTATGCCCGGTCGGGTGGTGCCCGGTGGAATATTGGAATTCTGCGTCAAAATGCCCATTCAAACCGACTATTTTGAGCTCAAAATGTGTTTTGCAGAAGACACACATAAAGGTAGGTGTATAACCTAGGCCAATGTTATGTGCCCTGAGTTCGTATTATAACTTTGCATGTGAGTCAGTATTTTACCTAATATATTGACACCAAAACCACACAAAAATATGTATACCATTGCCATTGCTTATGAAAAAATGGCCAGGAAATAGCCTGCGATTCGGTGACTGACCGTATTTTCCGTGAAATCTGAAGAAATTCAAACTGTAGGTACCACTGTATTCTGATAGCGTAGCAAATTGAGCGATGAACAAATAGCATTCAAAAAAGCTACCTGCGGTTAAAAGCTTGTTAGAGGTTGATCTATTTGACTCCGACCTAGGTCACTGATGTTAGTAGATAAGAGCTTGATTTTTACATAGAGGATGCTGAATTGATGTTGAAAGGTGCTACAATTTCGTGCTGCTGTGATTCTTGGCGTTGACTTATGCTCGAAAACCATAAATGACAAAAACCGAAAAGTGCGGAAGTCGGCTTCTCGCCGGCCGGGCGGGGTCAAGAAACTAAAACCATTTTAGTTTTCTAGCATCACACCCGCAAAAAATGTGAAGGCTGATTCGGAGAGACTTTTTAAGGTCACCCAAGCATCCATGACGTCAGACAAATGCTGCCATTCCACTTGCCATGCGGCGATCAAGGCCAAAAAATATAATTGTCGAGCCTTTCATGTCTGGTGTTCGTGAGCACGATATCTAGATATAGCGGTCGTCAATTGGCTATTAATCAATGTTGTGCAAGCTGCATGACACAATCGAACAATGACATATTGAGGAAAAGCATTACTAAACAGAGAAATTGTGCTGCCTAGACCAGCCTTTTCCACATAAAAGCATGCCAGCTGCGATAAGTGAGGTTATTTCATCCTATCTGATGCTTGCTTCATTATCTTCAAATGTGGAACATTGCGCGTTAGACTGGGAAAACATAAAGGAAGCTTCTTGCATAGACCCCGCTACCCCATCATTTGATGCCTACTTATCTACATTTCAATTATATCATAAGTCCTGCGCGATTATGCTTAATGCATCACACCCACATAGCATTTGTATGTATGCATATATATATATATATATATATATATATATATATATATATATATATATATGTATATATATATGCATGTTTTTTATCGTTTCCAAAGATTCGGAACTGATGTTATAATTCATGAAATGTCATGATTCAACGTGTTCCCACGTTCTCTTACTCTGGAAGGCACTGGCATTCCTTTTCTCGATGGGCTTCATCAGGGCTCCACAGACAGTCAGAGTTCCCAGCACGATGCTCGCGATGATGAGCAGCACCATCCTCCACGTGTACACCTCCATCAGGGCCCTGAAGAAAGGTGGTCCCAAACAGAACTAGATAACGCTGCAATATACGGAATAAATATGTTGACCAAAGTACCTAATATGTACCGGAAATTGAATCTCACTAGATTTGGCAGGATTTTGAGAAAAAAACAAAGCAGTTAATGCACTTTAACGGGAACGGGATTGATAAGACCTCACTGGTATGATGATGGATGGCGAGAGGCTGCTGCGCTGATGATGAGTGGTAAGACACGACGGGCTTGATCACGGATGATAAGACACCACTGGCCTGATGTTGAATGAAAAGACATCACTGGCCTGGTGGTGGATGGGGGACACTACCAGCCTGATGATAGATGGTGAGACACCTTCCGGAATGATCATGGGTGGGGAGGCACTACTGGCCTGACGACGGATGGAACGATGGTAATGAGTTCATGCCAGGTGAGACAAACGTCAATGCCTGATGGAAGGACGAGAAGACGACGCCGCCGCTGCGGATCCCGGAGTCGTACATGCTTTACGACGAGGGAGGGAGGGCACCGACCTGATGACGGGCGGGAAGACGAAGCCGCCGAGGCCGACGCCAGAGACAGCCAGGCCGAGCGCGATGGTCCGCCGCTGCTCGAAGTACTCGCTGACGATGACCACTGTCGGGATGTAGGCTAGGCCGAGGCCGATCCCTGCAACACGCCGCAGTCACCGCGTGACCTCGCCAAGCCGGTGGCTTTCGCGGAGCTCATGCGGTTCCAAGGCTGGGCAAATCCGCTGCACACGGCAGACGGCGTGGTCTCGCCGGAAATTCCTCGGAAGCATGCTTGAGAACATGTGCACAAAATCAGGAGACATGCTTGAGGACAGCTGCACCATATTGGGTGATATCACGCCGACACGGTGGCAGGGCTCTCCATCGAGGTATGCTCAGCTTCAGGCCAACCAGGATCAGCAATGGGTTCGTCTGAAATAACAATCATTCGGCGTGTATGCCAAGATTGGGCGTGATAAATGAGTCCCGAAATGCCTTAGGACTTGCGGTGAGCTCTAAAGAGATCACGCTCTAAAAATCTTACATGCGGACTTAAAGATCATGCTTTAAAGCGCATGACAGAAAAGGGCTTCAAGTGATAGTCAACCGTATCTAACACGCGTCCATGCATTTATCCGTGCAGCACCGTCAACGGACGCGTGCACCTGCACCAAACCCGGCGTCAGTGGCAGCCGCCAAAGCTGGTGCACACCGGATCATCTCCCCATCCAAGCACATCAGTGCTGGCGCTGCACAGGAATTGAATAACGGCCGTCTCTGGTGGCGGCTGGCTGATTGGCAGTGAATCACTTGCCCGGAAGAGGTCAATTATTGTCGTTGTCGGCGGCTGGGTGCCTGGTTGCCGACTGAGGGCGTGGCGGTATTTCAAGCAGGCCAGTGAGCAGCTGAAGTTATGCCGGACAAAATCGGTTGCTACTTAATTCTTTGTGTATGTGGACTTGATAAGCTTCCGTGAAACATATGCTCTCAGTATGAATGATCTCAGGCCCACCGTAACACGCTAACTGGAGGGCGGGGCGAACACTACTTTAGCCTCTCCCAATGTTGGTTTGACCCAGTTTGACATTTTTACCCATTCTGCTGGTAGGAGAGTCGCCACAGGTTTTCAGCTGGCGGGGGGGGGGGGGAGGGGGACAGGGTCTTCCATGGGTCTCACCGGGAGCCTCCAGCGAAGCACTGTATTCAAGATGAGGGGCACTGAAGATGTGTGCCCCGTTATTAAATTGTTGCATTATCATACTCAAGCAAGTAAATGTCGACAGTCAAAAATATAGGTTGTGGATCTTCTAATTACTCGACAAAGGGCTTCGTTAAGCTAAAACAGGGCCTCCTGCTACAGAAAAGAGCCTCCCTAAGCAAAGATGGCCCTACTAATCCGGGACAAGAGGCTCACGATTCCCCCAGGGGCCTCCAGATCTAGCCAAGAAACCTCGACAGCCCAAAACGGGACATCCTGATCCCAATCGACGGCCAGCTGATGTTGGAAGGGCATCCTGTCCCAGAAGTGAACCCCCTGAATGTAGAGGGTGCGTCCCCAACCAGAACAGGGGCCTCCCAAGTTGTAACGGGGGCCTCCCGAGCCAGCAAAGTGGCCTCCTTAATTCAACAGTTGGCCTCCTGATCTAGAGTACTGGCTACCTTATTCACAAAGGTGACTTCAGGACCTAGGAGATCGGTCTCTTGATGTAACAAAAGGCCTTCTAAGCCTGATTTATTACTCTGTATTTCAGTATTTTAGCAATGAGGCCTCCTGAATCTAAATTTGGTTATTCTTTCTCATGGTTGCAATGCCCTTCGTTGGAGAAAAGGAGAATCCCGAAATATTTGGCAACCGAAGCATTCTCTGCCCCCTCTGCCTCTCCCCCTGCTGCGCCACCCCTGCCTGCTGATGTATAACGGTTGGATGCGGTACGCAGCGCGACGAATCCAGCCTGTTAAAGCACGGGTCGTGGGCTGCGTAAGCGCGCATGCGGAGTGTGTACCCGTGGCTCAATCAGCTGGAGCGCCTGCCTCTGAGCCTACCGTGGCGGGGTCGGCGAGGTCGGGTCGCTTTAGTGCTTGCCTGGTATGTGGCCAGTGGCAGCAGCCGCTCAAGATCAGATGAGGTCAAACGGCGGAGTAGACCGGGCCGGACATTGGGGCAGTTCGCTATTGGGGCCAGTTAAATTTTCGCTACAAAAACCGGCCGCTGAGCTGGAATATCATGATCGGATGGTGGGGTGAGGACTCACGCAACAAGCTGCGCTTAGCTTGGGAGCTGATTCCAGAGATATGTTCGATCAAAATGTTTGGGTTATTTTTGTTTAAAGCTTACCAGACTTAACAAGCGCTCGGGTGGGGGAGGGATCACTTTGACCCCTCACCCCAGAAAGTATTTCTAAAATGGTACGGGCGAGCCGCGCGTAACTTTACATAGTTGTAGGCAATGGACTGATGAATCTTTTGATATAAAACTTGGATGTAACTTGTAACGCTGGCCTATCGGAGGTCAAAATCAGGCTGTTGCTGTCAGCGAAGGCCGCTCTGAGGAAATCGTTTAAAGCCTCATATATCTGTTATGTTTTCTCTGGCAAAACTCTAACTGAATGCAGAATCATAACGGATTCCATGGATCTAGGATCAGGTATGAAGGTCAGACCGAGGTCAACATCAATCTGCTTTTACACTGAATCTTGCTTAACCGGGTAGTCTCTGGTACTAATTTTAGAGTTATTAACACAGTGACCACAACAGATATGTTCCATGGACTTTATAAACGTCAGAATAGGTCACTGAACTAAAAGGACTCAGACAAACATTTCGATAGCAGGAGCATACCGTCCAAGGTAATCCCTGAAGCTTATTTGAATGTCAAAATGGTAGCAGTTTTTGTATTTTGGTCATCTTGACCTCCAAATGTTCAAAGAAGACCAATGGCCTTAGATGAACACCATTGACCTTGTTCTTACAATACGCATCTAGGTTCACAGCGTTTGCGTGAGGAGGTGTGGAACACTTTGGACGCCGGTCTGGAATTTGACCTTGTCTGACCTTATTTGACCCCAAATTTATCACCTAGTAACCTCAAATTTTGATAACAGCGAGCTCACATACGGGGGGGGGGGGGGGCAACCTACCCCGTGAATTTGGTGTCCCTAGCTAATTCAGTTTCCGAGATCTCGGTGGGTCAAACCGACCCCCCCCCCCCCGATCCGAGCGAAGGATATTCAACTGGACACCCGGGCGCGTGTTAAGAACGTCACAGGTGCAGTCAGTTTATTATATCTAGGTGTCCTCTCCAGTTTACTCAGTCATCCCTTTCCCGGTTTAGCGGCCAGCTGACCGCCGAAAGCAGTCTGACATTTCAGGTGAAAAGGAAAAATATTATTGGTCGCCCGGCGCTGGTAGGTACTACCCGCTTCACATTAACGGAGCCCCGCTAGTTTTTTTAGGAAAAAGAAATGTCCGCCACCTGCAGCCGCATCGCAATAAACAGTTAGCATAAATTATATCAACGGGCTTTGAATGCTTGCCAAATTCGGCCAGTTTTTTAATTAACTGCGCCGCAAATTCTTCCCAAATGAATGCATGTTTGCAAGATTTTTCAGCGCAAGTTTTGGGTGTCAACCCTAGTGCAAATAATTCAGCGTTGAACGTGCCTCAAACTAGTTTCGTGATCAACATTAAAGCTCCTCAGCTCTATCAGACTCTAGTTTATTTCTAGCAGAATTCGAAGCGCCCCTGTGGTGCAGAACAGGTTGAACCTGTTCAAGGCACCTCATTGTACTTATGCAGTCGGAAGACGGGGGTATACTATTAATGTGTCCCAAGGGTACCATTGTAGAGCAATTACCAAGTGTACCATTGTAGAGCAATTACCGAGGGTACCATTGTAGAGCAATTACCAAGGGTACCATTGTAGAGCAATTACCATCGTAGATCTTTGTACAGCACAATGTGAATAAATAAAAGACGCATTGTGTGAAAATGGAAGACACATTGTGACCTGCTCACTCTTCAAGGCTACTCTGGCACCCGGAGTACAACGATCAAATGACTGTTGAAACTATTTCTAGTGCACTAGCAATAGCTGAAAATATTCATTTGTCATGACAGATGATGCTACAGCGGTCATTCAAGTGGCAAAATCTGTTCCATAGATTTTGATACCTCAGAGAAGATGGAATGTGGCAGAGGAATGGGCATGGATCGTTGCATACCATTTATTACAAATATACATAATCATGGCGCGAATTTCAATCAGGGACTCAGCAGACTTTCGCAAATCGTTACAGAGGCATATAGTTCCAGCGTCGTTGTATTCGCCGGGGGCCTACCGAATGCTTGGCACCGACATTCGCCTGTGTTTCGTATTACTTGAAAAAAACAACCAGGGAGTGCTCTTGAACCCGACCCGCGGATTCATCCGTACTTTCCGATGCCGATCCCCGCCAGGCCCTGACCGCCCTCTGCCGGCAGCTCCCCAGCAGCCGCGCCGCGGGCGCCGGCCGGTGCTGCGACAGGAAAGACGACCGCGGCGCGCCCGCGGCCCGGCTGCGGCGCGTGGCACGCGCGGGCGCCATTGACCGCCCCCCCCCCCCGATCAGTCCGGTCATAACATATGAAGCGGCCGCTGTGTGCGGCGCCCTCCGTCCCGCCCCCTCCCTCCGGCCCTGACAACAACAGGCCGCCCGAACCGACCGTGGCCACGCGCACAGCGCTCGATACCAGTCGCTTGGCGACCAATGGCAGCCTTTGGAATGCACGCACCACAAAGCAGGTGCCGGAATGGGGTACACACATACAGGCAGCTGTCACGCCAAGAATTTGTTGACATGAGCATGAAGTACCCTTTCCATTCAGAATATTTGTTTTGGCTATTGTTTCTGGCAACCTTCTCCCGGCTGCGTCCACCACTGAGCATTACAGATGCATATGTATGGTTTTGCAATGCCAGGTGAGAGGATGACACGTAGATTTGAAAGGCATGCTCACTCATCAATGAGGAACTTTTTGACAACCGTGAAAAGGTGCAGCTCGCAGATTTTTGTTCAGTTCTTGCGGCTGACCATGCGTGCCACTGTTCAAGAGGCGCTGTGTGTGTCTATGTATGTAATAGGCGGCACACGAGCTCTTTAACTCGATTGTTTCTGGTTGTTGTGAGTGGAAGCGCACTGTTGTTGAGACATTTGTGGACATCGTTCTGGCGGCACAAATGCAGGTTTCTGCAGGAACAAAGACCGGTTGCATAGGAACTCGCACCAACTTTTGTTTACAAACAACAAGACTTTCAATCATTCAAGTGGCGATGGATATGGCCAGGGTTTGAGTTTTGGTCAAGGAAATCATTACGTTTTGACTGCTTCTGCGTTTCCTGTGCTTGTGGCTAGATTTCACAAAATGGACATTGTTAGTGAGAATTGAAAATAATGGACGTCAACGATCACTGGGCTGATCACTGGCCATTACTTGTGTCGCCCCCTTTCTTGGTCAGGCACTAGAAACTTGATCCCCGGGATCGGTTTTAAAAAAGGGGGACATTGACCAATTCACGCTTTAATCGCTGTCATTCTTTTGATTGAATGGTGCTGATCTGCTTGCTGAGTCATATGCGGTATGTTTGTTTACAGCAATAAGAAGGGTTCTATCCCTGTACCTACGCTGGTTGCCAAGACCTGACGTAATTGCCAACAGCCAGCCTCTGACCAGTGGAGCTATGGCTGCGCTTTGGTTCTAGCTCTATACCTGCGCTCGGTTGCCAATACCTGACGTCATTGCCAACACCAGCCCCCGGACCAGTGGAGCCATGGCTTGCGTTCAAGGGTGTCTGACTTGCCGCATACAGTGGGACGCACTAATGCCATTCCCAGTCCCCGCATGTCCTAGGAAAACTGTGCCGATCCTGCGTCGCCGCGAATCTAGGCTATTCACATCTGGCCCGGTAGGTGGTCAGTGCTGTGGATATTTTCGCCCACGATGTGCAAACGTTGGCTTTCGCATGTCAATTGCATGCGGCATGCCGCATTGAATTCAGAAAACAGTACATATCAGCAATGACAGGGGATTTGTGATCATAATTTTCACCAAAGTACAGATGTCCAGCAATGAACACATAATATTTTCTTTTGGTGGTTCAATGGCATCTGTCATGTTTATTTTTGCGTTGGGGTCATCATGCTTATCGGTTAAATTCTCAGCTTGTTTATTCGTTTTGTCGATAGTCATTGGCTGTGTTGAACTGATTGGTCCAGGAGGAAAGTCGATGCCCTCTGCCCAGCAGGATTAGTAGAATACCTTAAATGGTGAATGAGCGAAATCCAACTGAATTTTAACACGCGCCCGGATGGCCGCTGTAACGCCGCTCAAGTGAGGGAGGGGGGTCAATAAATTCCCCCTAAATCTCAGAGTTAAGAGACCTGGAGATACCACATAGATAGGCCTACATGGGACACACATGGCCTACATGTCACATCATTTCTGTAATTTTTAGATCCGCAGGTTACAACCTTCGTGTAAAATAAGGTTAAACAAGGCCAAACGCCAGATCGGTATCTGAAGCTCCCTTAGACCTCCGCATGCAGCCTCTTTTACCTAGATACCTTGACTAAGCAAAAGACCACTGGCGCCCATTTCAGGTCGACGACCTTATTTGACCTTCACAAGTCATGGTGACCAAAAACCTTCAAGATTGTTCTGATCTCTTTCTTGAAACCGGCGTCAAGGGTTACACAAGGTGGTATGCTCTTAAAAAAGGTTGATGGGGGTCATTATGTGCCTTTGGACACATCCGACCCATATGACGCCCAAATGACACGTCCGTTGGCGTACCTGTGATCAAGAAACAAGAAATAGTCATCAAAATTTGCCTCATAAATCGCTACTTCCAGTAAAAATGTACCGGATTTTGGCCTCGGTCTGACATCCTTCTGATCAAGGTCAACGAAATAAGTCGAAACCCTAAACCGAATTGTCCAACCGTCTTAGAAACTGTCCTAAAACTCTTTGGGTTCGTCTGAAACTCCCACACCGCATCAGATTTAACAATTCCCTCGGAATTGCCTTCGCTGACAGCTATGACCTAACTTTGATCTGGCGTAGGTCAGCGACCTTGCTAGGCACGTCTAAAATGCATGTCACAATCTGCTGTTGAACTGGCTACAGCTGTGCAAGGATGACGTGGCCACAGTGCGCCGTTCGGAAGCTTTTTAAACAAGTCTTCATGGGTTAAAACCCACCTCCAACCTGAGCGCGTGTTAAGTTGATTCTTGCGTTGCATCACGCTAGCTCCAATGCTCACCTTCTACTAAACCCTGGTCGGGATATTCCCCTCCCCTAGCCCTCTGCTCTTGCGCCGATGGATTGGGTTTCAGCCTGGCTTAACATATGTCGCGTCGCTTGCCGATGTGACGTCACTCTGGCGGGCTGCCGACGTGACGTCACTGATATGCTGCCGGTGTCGATGCTTACTACCACCAAGCAGGGAAAACGTCAGGTAGAGGACGTACAGCTGCTGATGAGCCAGCCACCGAGAGCGCGATGCCAGCTGAGGCCATAACGCCGCCGGAGAGGAGCACCGGCCGGCAGCCGTAGCGCTGCACCAGCGTGACGAGATCACACCTGCGGCAGCACGGTGCGGTTCTCAGGGGCAGCCGCAGGGACGGGCCAGCGGAGGGTGCCAAACGAGGGGAACCGTCGAGAGTGAAGGAGCGAGGGAGGGGGAGGCAGAGAGAGAGAGAGAGGTAAAGGGAAGAGAGAGAGAGAGAGAGAGAGAGAAGAGGAGAGAGAGAGAGGAGAGAGAGAGAGAGGAGAGAGAGAGAGAGAGAGAGAGAGAGAGAGAGAGAGAGAGAGAGAGAGAGAGAGAGAGAGAGAGAGAGAGAGAGAGGTAAAGAAAGAGAGAGGGAGAGAGAGAGGGAGGTAAGAGAAGGAGGGAGAAAGAGAGGGAAGCCGGGGTACTAGGGAGCTGAGCGAGATAGAATCAAAATGCTGTTTAAAAACACTGCAAGAAGAAAATTACGTGTGATCAAACCGACGAAGTAGGTTTATCAGATAAATGTTCACCCACCTGATGAAAACATCATCGCATTCAATAACGAGCCGACCCATGCGGTGGCAGTTTTTGATTGCTGGAACTCCGCCAAGAAGATGACGTTGAAGATACCGACTGACCACGAGACGCCATATATGACCACGTGGGCCTGTAAAACACGCAACGAGCACGCAATGAAAAACATCTCAATGTGTTGAGTTGCCGCAAGGGCTTCTGGTTTGCGCAGCTTGGCTGGAAGAAAAGGAGTTATGCATCATTATTTTCTCAATGATCATACGTTGCGAATATAACAAAGACGAGAACGACAAAGCTCGGCGACAGCGTGATGCAGTATAGTTGCAAAGTAAGCAAATTGAGAAAAACGTGGGTAAAGCAGGTTTAATATCTGAGCATTGCTGACCGGCGTGTCATTACCGTGACACATAGCCGATGCAATGATTATAGAGTTTGCGGGTTATATATTGTTGTAATGTTATGCTATTTCATGTTAACCTGTTTGATGATTAACTCCACTTAAATAGTTATTCTCGTATTAATTTACGAGGCGTATTGGCTGTGTGCGTACTTAAAAGTATGGCATCCTCATACTGTTTCAACTTTAACGTTGCACCACTCGGACATCTGCTGTACTAATCGGGAGACATGGAGCAAGGTGAAAGATGTCTGCTGTCAACCAATGTTTGGGTTCTCAATGAAGAGAAGGCACACAGAAAAAAACGAAAGAAAATCCGAAAGACGCATGCAGCCAATGATCATTTGGGTTCGCCATGAATGAAAAAAGAAATGTGATAAAAACACAAGGCTTTTCACGGGCAATGAGCTTCACTAGCAGTCCGAGCAAAGAGAGCTGCAGCCAAAACCTATTCACGTCCAGTGACTTGCCAAGAACGAAGCGAACACGATGACCCAGCCGTAGCCCCCATCCGGCTTCGATTGTGGCGCAATTTCTGTCAACTCCTGTTGGGCCTTGGCTTGGCTCGGGTCGTTTGTGCACGGCGTGGTTTCGGCGGGGCAATCTGAAACAATTCAACACCTGTAACACCCATCACAACCGCTCTGTTGGCCGCAATCGCGTGGCGTAATCTTAGGCCGAACGACCACCTCTGCTTATGTTTTGTTTGGCTCGTCACGTTGACCGGCCGCGGCCTTGGCCATCCAGGAACCCGGTAAAACCGCACGCAGCGCTCGGACCGATCCGCCAGGGAACGTCGTCTTCATTGTTGGAGGGAAGTGCTGACTCATCTCGTTGGCTTCGTGTGAAGGAACGGAGTGGTAGAGCTGAGCGAAGGGCTGTAAGGACGTAAGGGCGCGAGCAGTGGGCTCGTGTTAATCCATGAGCGTACACTAGCTCTTCGATTACACGAGTCCGCTGAATGCCCAAGACCACGAAATCTCTTATCGATGTCGATATTGATATCGATGTCATTGTTCATATCGCCGTCGACATCCATATTGATGTCCACATCTCAATCGATGTCGATTTGAAATAGGTGTGCATATGCACTGTGTGCATAGGACGTGTCCATCCGCGTTCAGAGCAGGCCAGGCGCCGAAGCAGCCGGGAGGGACGAGGTCCACGGTCGGCGTTGTTGTCTTAGCAGGCGGACAGGTGCTCTCAGAGAGTCCGCGCTGCTCGCTGCCCAGCTGCTGTCCGACACGTGTGCGCGAGTGCAGCTGGCGGGCTGCCGCGCAGCATGCGGCCCGCCGTTCGGGGTCACGGCCGGAGTTCAGTCACCTCCCCTGTGGCCGCGCGGCCGGCCAGGCGCGCTTGGCAGCTCGCGCAGAAGAGCTCGAGTCAGGCTCCAGTGGGATTTTGCTTCGTTGTGGACTGAGAGCATCGTCATCTGCAACGCTATTGGTCTAACCATGTCAAGGGGTCGTAAAGGTCAATAACCAAAATACCGTACTGGGGACGTACAGGCCAGTACGAGAAGCCTCAGAAAATTGATCACAGGCGTTTTTATGAAACCGATGAAAAAATGCAGGCCTTTGGTGTATATTTTGCGCTTTTTAAATACACATCAATCTATATTAAAAGGATGACGCCAACTGGAGGGGGTGGGGTCAAAACATCCCTCAAAGGAGATGATAGGTCTCTTATATCCTCATAAGTAATGAACCGTTCAAGCATCATTACATAGAAGCTCACCTTTGCAGCGTCCCAAACACAATCTTAACACGTACACGGGTGGGGGCGCCAGTTTTGTCCCCAAGGACATTCCAAAATAACTCCTAAGCAGCGTGGCACAGCCGCGCCAGACTTTGCATGGCTCTAGGCAATTGAATAGCTCATCTTCCAGTATAAAAATTGATTTACCTCTTTAGGTCAACAACATATGGCAAGTCAATATCAGGCTACGGCTGCCAGGGAAGGTAATTCTAAGGGCATTGTTAACATGATGATACAGTGTAGCATTAGATGAAAGTATGCAAATCTCAACTGGCTTAATAGGCAATCATACTGTTGGAATTAGGATCAATACTTATTCATTGAAGTGACAAAGCATGGATGACATTTCGGGGTCCAAACCAAAGCGCTTTATCGCTGGAAAATTTGCCCTATGAGTAGTTGACTTTATGACGGTATATTGACTTTATGAAGGTCACTTACCTAAAATGACCTCGATCAACCTTGTGCTTTGAGGAGCACGCCTCATAGAATAGCAATTGGCGCCGATTGTAAATTTAAATACCCCAAAAATTCCAAAGACTTCTGGTTATTCTTAACTTTTAAAGGTCAAATAGGGACACTGACGAGATATAAACGCCAGCGAAATTTTAATTTTAAGTGGTATCTAAATTAAGCTAGTTGTGTGATAAGACCTGAGGCTACTTCGGACACGGATCACGTAAGGTTGCTTGACCTCATTTGGCCCGAAGGCCACCCCCTGCGGACCCTAAGACATAGCACCATTGAGACCACATAGGGACCTGCCGACCTCGTGAATTTGATGTCTGCAGCCTGTCAAGCATGTACGATATCAGGACGGGTTAAATTCTCCCTCCACATCCGAGCGCGGCGCATTTAACCTGCCAGCCCGGTGCGCTTTAATTGAGGCGAATTGACCCTAATTGCTGCCCCATCACACTACGCAGGGCTGAAGATGCGCGAAGTTTATTGGTGGGGCCAAAAGCCAATTATGATCATACGATTTTTCAGAGATTTTATCGTTGTAGACAGCTTTTCTCTTATGGATGTCATGGTGGAGTCGAAACCAACATTTGATCGGTAATGCAATGGCAAATAAAATCTGTCGGTGTCAGCATGATCCCGTTAACCCATGTCAAGTGATGAGCGCGCTGTAGGCACTGCAAGCTGCAAGCCGTTCAGCCTCCGACGAGAGTTCATTGAGGACGGGGTGTGTCGCTGAGCCGCGGCGCCATCCGCGATGCTTGTTTGTGTGTGCCAGCAGCCCATCAGCTAACGAGCGACGGCCTCGCCGAAGCCGACGAGGCGCCTTGCCAACGGAGCCGGTTATACCGGTTCTGTCCGGACTGAGCCGTACCGAACCGGCCGCTACAGGCGCGGCCCGCCCTGCTGTCCAGCTCCCTCCCCCCAGAGCGGTATGAGCCATGTAGCTGGTGATTCAGCTACTGATTAGCTGGTGATCCAGGACAGGAGATAGGTGTGTTTGTTTGTCAGAAAAGCATGCTGAGGGACTGGTGGAATGTGTGAGAAGGTGTTGGATAATAACCAGCTCGTGATTCACTTCTTACTAGGCGACGCAATGCAGCTAATCGTGCTTTTCTGCGTTCTTTTTTCGTCTTCTCAAAACTGTTGCACCTCTGTCACTTCTACGTAGGCTGCTGAATCCCTAGATAAACCAAACCAAGCACAATGTCCAAAGTTCAGTCTCTGAATGAGTTGTAGGTTTGTGTAAAACGACCTTGCCCCCGTTCAGAGCTCATCCAGTGTTTGAATTGTTCCTTTCGTCCACATCGTGGTAAGAATTAGAGGTGCGATTCGCCCTACGAGCCTGGCACTAGTAATAAACCGGCACCAACCTGGATACCCGGATATCGGCCCAGAGCCGGCAACGTGTGGCTGTCATCAGTATCGTTCGCTGTTTCCAATGCACTCAAGATAATTCAGCATTTCTCGGTACTGGCGTGGCCTCGGCACCGCCAGTCCAGGAGCTGACCGAGCACCGACGGTACTGATGCAGTCCAGGCAACGCTCATGTACCAAAGGTACTGGCCTATTTCTGGTACCGCTCCAGAGGCGACGGTACTGACGCAGTCTAGACGCCGATTCAGTACCGATGGTACTGACTCTGTCCAGGCACCACTTCAGTAACGAGCGACAGTGCTGACTCAGTCCAGGACACCGCTCGAGTACCGACGATACTGACTCAGTCCAGGCACCGCTCGAGTACCAACGATACTGACTCAGTCCAGGCACCGCTCAAGTACCGACGATGCTGACTCAGTCCAGGCATCGCCCGAGTACCAACGATACTGACTCAGCCCAGGCACCGCTCGAGTACCGACGATACTGACTCAGTCCAGGCACCGCTCGAGTACCAACGATACTGACTCAGTCCAGGCACCGCTCAAGTACCGACGGTACTGACTCAGTCCGGGCACCGCTCGAGTACCGACGATGCTGACTCAGTCCAGGCATCGCCCGAGTACCAACGATACTGACTCAGCCCAGGCATCGCTCAAGCACCGACGACACTGACTCAGTCCAGGCACAGCTCGAGTACCGACGGTGCTGACATTTTTCAGGCGCCGCTCCAGTAACGACGGCCTTGACGCACTATACGGCGTGCCAAGACATACTTTGCGTCTCTTCTGGTGACATAGATGACGGGAAAACGTCTGCAGCTGCGAAAACAGCCTGGTAATTTACTTGGCTTTAGTTCCGTCTCGCGCCACCTATCCAGTGCCCTCACCTAGGTGGTGAGCGCCCGTATCCTGCCGGACTGGCGCACTTGGCCCACGGCGAGCGCTGATTCTGGGAACTCCTTTGTGAAGAAACTGCCGGACATTCTAGGAAGTCTAAGCTCTATCGAGATTCCAGAAATGAACGTCATCCGCGTTGCGTATACCAGGCCATTTGTGCAGAAAAAATTGTCTGTTAGCTTGCTGTGAGGTAGATCTGCCTGTGATTTCTGATGACTTATGACTGAGGCTGACACGGATGTGCACATGGGAAGGAAGAAGCGAGGTCCCCCTCGAGAGATTGCCGTCCAGCTCTCCAACCTTTTCTTGTAAACGGAATTGCAGTCCGATCTCCGATATTCCTTGGGATGCAATCCAGATCTCATCACATCAAATAACAGCTTTCTACCTAATCCACGATTCACACTTCAAAAAGTGAATCCTAAACACATCCCTCGTACAATCCTAGAAAATCATATGCAATCTTAAAAAGATTGCAGCACATATTTTGCCAGCCATCCGTACATTTTCTCACCCTGCTTGTGGGATGACACCCACAACGCGTCAAAAGCACATGTTTGTTTCGCAAATTTCATTAAATAAAGAAGACACGTCAGGATTTTCAACTGCGCTAGATGATCATTTGCTATTCTCAAAGTCGCCTTGACATCTCGGCATTTTTTTGGGCACAATGTATACAGAGGCAGGAGGCAAGGTTATATGTGCCTGCAGATAATGGTCATTAAACGAAACACCTCAGGAATATCAGAAGCAAAGTTGAGAGGTGGAAAACAAGCCTAACTGCAAACACTATCGTAATGCATATCTCACTTCAAGTATGTGGCCGCGGCCTTGAGTGCAGAAGTTCGCGGATAATCAATATGGGAGCTAATGCTTTTGCATCTGCCACCAATTGCAGGACGGAGCTCGGAAACGAGCCAAAGCCAAGACGTTAGTTCGGTGAAAAGGTAGCCCTGATGAATATTGCGTTTTATGTTACCACCTGCTCAGACCTTAGTATATGATAGATCTGTTAAATCGTTTAGTTCACGGTTTACCCCGAGATACACGCCCCTCCCCCTTCCTCTCACTTTCCAACTTTATGAAATATGTTAATGCTCACGCACGT